AGACCTGCCTTAGTCAGACGATCGATCACTCTTTCAACCCATATGAGGTGTTCCTCAAATGTCTCAGTAGTGATTATCAGATCGTCTAAGTAAGCGAAAACAAACGGCTTCATATCCGGTGTAATAATTCGATCTATTAACCGCTGAAAGGTGGATGGTGCCCCGCATAACCCGAATGGCATGCGAGAATACTGCATCAGACCTAAACCAGGTACGAAGAAGGCTGTTTTAGCTTTACTTTGTGGACTTAGTGGTATTTGATGATAACCGAGTTTTAAGTCTAATTTAGAAATATATCTAGCTGAATTAAGTTTATCCAGAATTTCTGCCATAAAGGGCAATGCGTATGAATCTTTTACTGTCACATCATTGACCCTTCTAAAATCAATACAAAGACGGTAAGTACCGTCCGGCTTACGAGCCATTACTACTGCATTACACCAGTCACTGTTTGAGGGTTCTAATACCCCTAAACGAATCAGTTCCTTAACTAATTTAATGAATTCTTCGCATACTTTAGGTGACATGCGATAATTTTTCTGACGTATTGGAGGACTATCCCCCGTATTTGTTCTTTCGGCTTACGAAATTTTTGTTTATCTTTCTCCGAATTATTATTTTTGTGTGAGCTGCCCGAATCACTCTCCGACTTATTACTTTTATTTACTTTAGTTTTATTCGAACCAGAACTATTTTGTTTATTATTACTATTATTCGAACTAGACTTTGATTCATTATTAGACGAAAGGGCTTTAATCAACTCGCTCGTCATTAATTTAAAACACTGATCTAATTGGTTGATGGATGGCTCTGATGAGCTATTATTATTATCAACCTCAGAGTTTTTAATTATTTTGCCCGAATAAGCAAATTCAGGAAAGAAAGAATTCTCTGGTTTTTGAGAAACCTTCTCGATTTTGAGAGAATCTAACATTCTTTCTACATCGCTCGCTAACTGAGACAATTCGTTCAAATCACTAAATTCTCGACGTTTGATACACCTTTTAAAAACAGGTTTCATATTCATATAGACGCGATCTAACATATCCGGTAATGACACGTGGCGGTTAAATTTACTATACAGCCCTTCCATACAAGTGATGAAATCAGCTGTGTTTTCACATTGACCTTGAACACGGTTAGTAACCTGTTCTTCGAGACGCCACTGATAGTTGATATCACCGAAACGTAATCGACAAGCTGATTTAAAATCGTCCCATGAGGACCATCGCGATTTGTTTAAGCGGTACCACTGTAGTAGTACTACTAATCCTCGCATTTTTTCTAATGTATTATAACACGAATCTGGAAGGGATTCTATTTCCGAATCTACTGGGCAAATTTGTAATTCATCCGAAAATGACCACCGAATCGTTTTATCCCCAGCGGAAAATTGCATAAAACGTAAGGCACGTCCACGTAAGGTTTTTAAACTCCCTTCTGAATTGACGTTAACTGAGTTTATATAAATTTTTAATTGGTCTATAGACCAATTATCAAAAATTGTTGGCTCATCAATTATATGGTCCGCCATTTTAACAAAAGAATTTTTGTTTATACTATGGGGTTTATTATGGAGTCGGAAAAATTCGGTGAAAGAGCAGTCTCAGTCAACAACAAAAAAAAATAATATTTTGTGCAACCAATCCTCGACTACACAGTAACCGTATTGTATTAAACAAAATATAAAAAAAATATTGTTCTGTCATTTATAGTCAAAACAAAAAAAAATGGATATAATTTTACTGTCTGCAGAAGGAATAAAGACAGGAATACATAGATTAAATTTTTAATTCATTTTAGAAAATCTTTTTCATAATTTTTATTTTAAATATATTATTTATTATTTATTAAGCAATAATAAAAAAAATATATTGTAGCAATCGAGAACCGATTGCACAATTCAATCAATTCATTTCACTAGAAGGCGGCGATGACTCAGCCAAATCCTTCGTAATTTATTTAAATAAAATTAATTATTTTAATAATTGATTAATTTTATTTTTACCCGTAATATTTTTAAGAATTTGATTCTCGATCAGTGTATATTTATCCTTGTTGTGAGAATTTGTACTATCAGTCACAGAATTGTGACCTTGATTATTATTTTCTATGTTTACTTTGATTCTTCACTATAAGCTGAAATCTCCAAATTTTTTCTAAGATATTTGAGTTTATAAAACTCAAATATATTTATTTTACAAATTCTCACAAAATTATGGAACAGTTATAATTGAAATAATTTTTCACAATTTATAATGTTTGTTGTTTGTTCGAAATTAAGTGAAGTAATGTGTCTTTATCGGGCCCTATAGTTGGGTGCCATTTATAACGTGATTTTTGCTTGATTGATTATTTTTATATTATTTTTACTCTAAATTCACCAAAACTATTAATTTTAAATTATATTTTCTCACGTTACTTTATTTTTAATTTATTATTATTTTTAAAAACGCCAAGTTATTTTTAGGGAAAATAACTAAACCATTCTATATTTATTTGAATATAATATAATATCCGTCTGCTGGCTCAACACGTCATTGTAGGATACCAATAACCCGCGGAGAGTGGGGGGGAAAGGATAAAGACACAAGTAAAACACTTCACTTAATTTGTTTCATAATAATTTCTTTAATTCATTATTTAAGTAATTCAAGTATTCGGCAGAAGGCCGAATAATATTCGCATGTATAACGTTAGTACGCGAAAACTTTTGTGTACAACTGAAGGTTGTATTATAATTTTAATTTTATTTATTGATTTTATAATGTGCCGATCTGGCTGACAAAATTATTTCGTTCGGGACTCACCGTCTATATGACGTCGACCTCGCCACGAACCTCGTCCTGACATTATTTATACTAATTTATACAATTTTATTTTATTAAAAAGAAAAGCGGCTTGTCGCCTACTACACTTCCAGAATGAGAATGACTAAAAAAAAATGGCTGACCTGTCACGCTAGTCGGCGTCTCTTTGTGCGCTTTCTTTTTAGAGGTGAGTCCCGGTGAAAGTAATTAATTAGAACTTTCTTTATCGATAATCAATTTATCACGAGTCGATATTTTTCATGAATCCGGAGGGTAAAGTAGAACGCTACCGTGCCACGGCGCATCGTAGCGCTCTCTATCCAAAATGGCCGCTCCCATTGTTGTGACAGCTGAGTATACAAATGAATTTTCGTCTTCCTGGTGCTCTTCTTATTCGGGAATCTCTTCCAAATATATACACCAGGAAGCACTTCCCTTGTGGTACATCGAACATAATTAATAATATGGAAAAGCTGACTCATTTTGTTGAATCCGGAGAATTACTCCGATTAATGTCCATTTTTTCATGAAATAGAAAAATAATAAAATGATAATGTGGACAACAATTTACTGTTTCCGTTAAATCGATCTGGCGAGTCAGCAGGTATATTTAATTTTATTCAACTATTGCTTAATTTAATATTTAATATTTTTACAATTCTCTTGTTATTTTATTACTTTTGACAACATACTGATTTTTATTTGTTTTTTAGAAATGATGGTGATTCCCACCCTGGAATATTTTTAATAGTTTTCTTATCAGAATTCAGGAATATTGTGACGAGCATAAAATGCCGCGTCACAGTATGTATGTATGTATGTATGTCTGTAGACAAATTTTGTCCGACGATAACTCGAACAAATTTTAATGAATCGACTTTAAATTTGGTATACACTTTAAGTGTACCAAAATCTCGCCTGAGTTCGTTGGCCAGATGATTTCGTCAAAAATCAACAAAATTATTCAAATTTTGAGTTTTTAAAAATTTCAAAAATTCGCATTTTTCAAAAAAAAAAATTTTTCAATTTTTTTTCGAAAATTACGACTAAAAATAAACACTTTCTTCCTTTGACAATTTTTAATAGCGATTAAAACAAAAAAGTTATACCACTTTTTTAAAAAAAGACAAAAAATGACAAAAACGGATGAAAAATGGGTAAAATGCAGAGCAAAATCACTTAATTTTGAAAAAATGTGTTCAAATATGTATTATTTCTCTTTAAACCACCTTTAATTAACACAAATAACAGTAACTTACTCATAATATTTCGATTTTTTTTTTTTTTTTTTATATAAGTCCTTGCAACAAAGTTCTAATGGTAGCAACTGTTTACGTTGGCGTTAGTAGTCCGTGATGTGATATCTGTATGTTTGAGCTGCGATTATGTTACTTATGGAACAGTTACACCTTGGGTAAAATATTTTTTATTTTGCATTTTCCGAATTACAGAATCCTGATTTGTTGTTCGCAAATTAATGTTATTGATATTGGGCAGCTTATGAGGGTTTGGCATTTCTTAAAATCAAAGTAAAAAACAATTTTTTACCAAAAGTGTTAATCCTCAATAAAGGTACATTCGCACCACGATAGACAGCGTTGTTACCTACTTCTAATATTAATATAACGTTAACGTGATGACGTCACAATGCTAGTTTCAAGTAGAGTCTACAGGAGCTTCTACAATAGCTCCGTTTGGCAACTCCAAGTCCAAGTCGAAGTCGCTTGGAGTTGGTTGCGCACGCATAATGTTGCCAACTGTCGCCGAGTTGAAAATGAAAAAAAAAAATTGTGCGTGATCTCGTGCTCACGAAATAGTTGAGGTTATGTACCTTTGAAGCTGTAAACACGCTGTAAAGTTTAATAAATTATTTGTTGTTGTTGCTGTTGATGTTTCCGCCGTCTCATCGTTTTTTAAAGAGAAGAAAAATATAAATTAAATTAAATTTTTCTTTTATAAATATCAAAATTTTTTTCACTGAATAATACACACATGCAATGAATTTAATATTTGTAATATATAAATATAGTAATAAAAAAATATACAATTAATAAGATGAACTGTCAATACAAATTTTTTTTATGTTTTTTATTGACATTATAATAAAAGTTTTTCATCATTTTGATTTCACAATATATTAAAAAGGTATTTTCATGAACATAACCTTACAATATTTTTACATTTTATCACATGAGAAGAGTGTAATCATAAAATGGAATAATTAAATTTAAAAATATTTGAAAAATAATTGAAAACGTGCGTTGACATATTTATTATATTTTTAATTAAATACGATTTTTAAAAATAATTTAACTTAAGATTACATTATTCTCATTAACAGATTACACAGGCCTGCGAGATTTAGTTACAAGAACCTGTGGTACTAATTCTCGTAGGTTTTTGCGCGCTAAACACGAATCTGATGTCCAAAATGGCCCATCACGTCAGGATTTTGAGTAATTCAAGGTCAAATGTCCCGAAAATGGCTATTTTGGACACTTTTGGGAATTTTTTCTGGGAGAAAAAAATTTTTTCTTTAATTTTCGAAAGCGCTATCATATAGTGCATACTCTCAGCTTCAAAACCTATTTTTGAAAATTAATTTACGATTATTTTTAAAGAAGTTATGAACATTTAAATGTATGACCTTCAGTCATTTTTTAAGACCATTAACCCTTAAACGCCCGACTTTTTTTGTAGAAATGCGATTTTCGTCATGCTCTGTATTCAAGGGTTTTTGAGGTCGCTGATGACGAATCCGAAGTCGGTTTTTAAAAATTCAAAATGGCGGATCCAATATGGCAGACAACTTTTTTAAAAAACCATTTAATTCGTCTGAAAATCGTTACTCGGGGGTTTTTGGGGTCGCTGATTACAAATCCGAAGTCGGTTTTTAAAAATTCAAAATGGCGGATCCAATATGGCGGACAACTTTTTTAAAAACCCATTTCATTTGTCTGAAAATTGTTACTCGGGGGTTTTTGTGGTCGCTGATTACGAATCCGAAGTCGGTTTTTAAAAATTCAAAATGGCGGATCCAATATGGCGGACAACTTCTTTAAAAAACTGAGGTAAATTTATAAAAATGACCTCTTGGAAGTTTTTGGGGTCGCTAAGTAAAAATCCGATGATAGTTTTCTAAATTGAAAAATCTCCTAGTAGTCATTTTTATGGCTGTGTCTGTATTTTGGTTTTTGTCCATAATGTTGGATCTGCCATTTCGAATCTTGAAAAACTATCATCGGACCCAACCAATGAAGGCCAGGTAAGAAGAGTTCCCAACCAATGAAGGCAAGGTGAGAAGAGTACCCAACCAATGAAGGTAAGGTTGGAACGAGACCCAACCAATGAAGGCACGGTGAGAAGAGTACCCAACCAATGAAGGTTAGGTCGGATCGAGACCCAACCAATGAAGGCAAGGTGAAAAGACTACCCAACCAATAAAGGTAAGGTTGGAACGAGACCCAACCAATGAAGGCAAGGTGAGAAGTGTACCCAACCAATGAAGGTAAGTTCGGAACGAGACCCAACCAATAAAGTCAGGGCATGTTGACTACCTAATCAATAAAGGTAATGCAAAATGAATACCAAATCAGTAAATCAGGAAAAAAGAATGACCAATAAATGCAGAAACGATGCATTTATTCAGATTGAATAAATCTTCGTTTATTACTTTTTCTTTTATGGATCGCATTGTAATTATCTCGCTTAAGACACCAGCAGTAATCTGCTAGCATATGAATGTCCCATCTTCCTTGGTATCTTTTTTCAATCTCTTTAAGGTCTTGATGAAACCTCTCCCCTTGTTCATCACTAACGCTTCCTAAATTTTCAGGAAAATAGTCTAAATGACTGTTAAGAAGATGTACTTTTATGCTCATATTGCACCCTAGTTCCTTGTAACTGTCTAACATATTTTGTACTAATTCTTTATAGTTGGGTTGTTTGACATTTCCTAAGAATCCGTTACAGACATCTTTGAATCCTTTCCATGTATTTCTTTCTACTTCATTCATGACACTCTTAAATTTGGTGTCCTTCGTGAGTTTCCTTATATCTGGTCCTACAAAAATGCCTTCTTTTATCTTCGCATCACTTAGTGAGGGGAATTTTTCAAACAAATACTTAAAACATTTACCTTCTTTATTTAAGCCTTTGACCAATTGTTTAATCAACCCTAATTTGATGTGCAAAGGAGGTAACAAAGTCTTATCACGGGATACCAGAGGAAGACGGATGACATTTAGTGAGCCAGGTAACAGTTCTGACCTAACTGGCCATATTTTTTTGTCCAGTGCTCTGCTCGACATCTACTGTCCCACTGGCACAAAAAACATGGATATTTCGTGTATCCGGACTGTTGACCTAATATCATGGATATTATTTTCAAATCCCCACAAATGACCCAATTATGCTCATTATACTTAATATTTGTAAGTAAATTGACTAGAATATCATACGTCTCTTTCAAATGTACAGAATGAGCAATAGGAACTGAAGCATATTTAGATCCGTTATGTAATGAAACCGCCTTTAAACTTCTTTTGGAAGAATCAATGAAAAGTCTCCAATCATTGTCATTATATTCCTCATTTCCTAGACGTTTCATTAATCCCGGAACATTGTTGCAAAATACTAATGATTCGTTCTGTAAAAAGTATTCACAAAATTCTTTCTCTCTACTTCTATACCAATAGTAAGTAGTATCTTTATCAAGCATGTTTTTTTCTTTAAGTCTCGATCCAAGAAGTTCTGCACTTTCTTTAGAAAGATTTAAATCTCGAACGAGATCATTTAACTCGGTTTGTGTAAATTGACCCGACTTTATTTCTTCGTCAGGTAAGTAAGATTTGTCATATTTTTCATGAGTTTCATCAGTACTATCTTCCAAATCACATAAATCATCGACAACTCTATGATGGGATGGCGGTACATGTGGAAGAATATTTTCGTCTTCGTAAGTGAGAGGTTTTGTGACTGAAGACACATCAGGATATTTTATATTATCTTTAGTCTTAACATTAAAACCTTCAAGTTTGCATAAGCAAAAATAACAGTCAGCATGCGACTGCGGTTCTCGCCAAATCGTTGGAATCTGAAAAGGCATTCTTTTAGAATCTTTCGAATTTTTGGACCATGAGGACAAGATACTCACACAACTTGTGCAAACTGAATGAGGTACCCATCTTTTATCTAGATTAATCATCTGTAAGCCGAAATAACTCTGGTAATTAGTTTTTACTCGTCTTTGTTTTTGAATAGCATATCTGCCACAAATGTAACAAAATTTGTCAGGGTCATTGACACAAACTCGACTTGACATTTTTGCCTCTGAACAAAAGAAAACTTATATACTTACCATACGCGTTTTAATATATTTGGTTCTGAAAAGAACTGGCTAAATAAATAGTACTAAAAAGAACAAATAGAAAAAGTAATTTTTAGTATCTGATTAAAAAGAATACTTTTAACTGTTATTTTAAAAATATATTGCTAATGAAGCAGTATAAACTGTAGCAAAAATTAGTTCTGAAAAGAACTGTTTGACATTACATATTTACATATAAGTTTATTACAAAATTATCGAAATAGCTACTGGAACAAGTAGATAAGATTGCATTCCAAAGCGCTTTGTTCCCAAAGCCAGTACTGCCCAAAGCTCAATGAAGCGTTTTGATCAAGAAGATTCGAATTACGAGGAATAACTCCAGTGGTGGGGGTGATGCAAATACGGAGGACAATGATGGATTCCAGTGGTTTGCCGCAGTGTATGAGCATCAAGCTAGCACAAACATGTAAGTATGCGCAGAAACATAATTTGGTCTACTGCGCAAACGACTTACTACCTTCATTGGCTCATATTCTGCTTCAAAGCTCTCATTCCTCCACCACTGAAGAAATTGGATCCGCCATTTTGAATTTTTAAAAACCGACTTCGGATTTGTAATCAGCGACCCCAAAAACCCCTGAGTAACGATTTTCAGACGAATTAAATGGTTTTTTAAAAAAGTTGTCTGCCATATTGGATCCGCCATTTTGAATTTTTAAAAACCGACTTCGGATTCGTCATCAGCGACCTCAAAAACCCTTGAATACAGAGCATGACGAAAATCGCATTTCTACAAAAAAAGTCGGGCGTTTAAGGGTTAATGGTCTTAAAAAATGACTGAAGTTCATACATTTAAATGTTCATAACTTCTTTAAAAATAATCGTAAATTAATTTTCAAAAATAGGTTTTGAAGCTGAGAGTACGCACTATATGATAGCGCTTTCGAAAATTAAAGAAAAAATTTTTTTCTCCCAGAAAAAATTCCCAAAAGTGTCCAAAATAGCCATTTTCGGGACATTTGACCTTGAATTACTCAAATCCTGACGTGATGGGCCATTTTGGACATCAGATTCGTGTTTAGCGCGCAAAAACCTACGAGAATTAGTACCACAGGTTCTTGTAACTGAAAAAAGTTCAAATTTCGCAGGCCTGTGTTATTTTTCTATATTATTCTAATGTAATTTTCAGAATTAAATTCAGATTAGAGTATTTAGATTATAGTGTTTAAAATGTTTGTAGAGTCTTAAATGCTTTTTTTTCTTCTAACAAGAAATCTGTATGTCAGGGAAAAAGTTATTATTTACATGGAAAAATGGAGAATTCAGGAAATTGGATTACAAAAATATTATGGCAACGCATGAAGAAATTAACTTTTTAAAGAATTATCACATATAGTAATTATATTCAATGAATTTTAGACGAAAAAATTCATTCATAAAATATTAAACTTTGAAAATTATCTGCATTCTCTACACCCAAAAAAAAGTAATCTTAAATTTAGAGGAAAATTCCTCTTCTAAAATCCTCTGAATATTTCCTCTTAAAATACGAATATTCCATTTGACTGTAGAATATTTTTATTCTTTGTTGTAATGGAACAATAACAAAAGGAGTACTTTTGCATTTTCCTCTTCAATTAGGATTTTCCTGTTTAAATTTAGTATATTTGAAAAAAGAAAAGTAAATACATGATATCGATTACATTTTTTTCCTGTTTGACATTTGCGCTTTTGTTTTTCGAAACTGTCAATTTTCGTATGTCATAATAGTGTTGTGTTATAAATCGAAAGACCAAAATGGAAAAGAGAGTCGAAGATTTACTAAATGATTTAAATCTGGGTGGATATATTGAATGGAGGTATAAATACAGAAAATATAACCTCTCGATGAATCTTCATTTCTTACCAATTTTCTTAAATATTTGCGTCGAACTTCTTTGATATTTGCAACTTGCTATAGCATTTTTTATTATTATTGTAATTAAATCTAATGTATTGATGCTCAGCAAAAAGCAAGAAATATTTTTCAGAAATATTTAATTAAAAACCAATATTTCATTCTTTATTCCAGGAATCTATTATAATTTACCTTTTTTGAATGTAAACAATTAAATCTTATTAAATATTTATTATATTATTCAAATTTTTTTTTTCTCATAACTCCAACTGTTGTTTTCCATTTCCAAACATTGCAATTGTTTTCAAAAATTCCTCTATTTTAAAATAGTTTATATTGCGCTATTTACACCACAATTTCGTATTTTTTCGATTATTAATTACTTTTGAATCGGTTTAAATTCATTTATTTGTAGATTTTTTAAATTCTCATCATAAGTTAGAAAGTATTCATTTTGGTCGATTTTAACTTTTTTCAAATTTTAGTGAATCTGTACGTTTTGAGACCTCTCGATGCCAAAAAAGTATGTTTTGAAATCCTGTCTGTCTGTTTGTCGTCTGTAGTCTGTCTGTGGACTCATTTTGTCCCCACGATAACTTGAACATATCTTAACGAATCGCTTTGATATTTGGTACACGCTTTCAACATGTAAAAATAAAGCCTGAGTTCGTTGGACAGACTAATCCGCCTAAAAATTCAAAAATTATTCAAATTTTAAATTTTTAAAAAATTCAATTCTTCTTGAAAAATTTTTTTTTTTAATTTTCTCTTAAAATACTCCCAAAAGTAAACTTTTTTTCTTTAACCCTTTTCGATACAGATTAAAACAAAAAAGTTAAAAAAGTTATGTTCTATTACGTTTAAGGTAACAAAAATTTAAAATTTTTTTCGATGTGTTATTTTACTCATTAATTTTTTGCGGCACAGTTTTAACCTATTTTGCCACCTTTTCTTTTAGCAACTTTCCTCTCTATAGATTTAAAGTTTTTGAAGCAGTATTCATAAAACATTTTTTCCACTATAAGGAAAGCATTGTGAAGTGAAACAAAAATAATAAGTGTAGCAGGCAAAATTATAAAGAATTATAAATTAACTAAGTATAAACATTGCTATTTTTTAAGAGAAAATTCATTTTTCAACAATCTTTTAACAAATTTAAATAAATCTTTCTACTCCTTGGTTTTTTAGGTCGCTCATTACGATTCTGAAGTCAGTTTTTAAAAATTCAAAATGACGTATTGAAACATTTTTGACCCGATATTTTTAGCATTTAAAGGTATTCTGAAGGGTTAAGATTTGAAAAAATTAAAAAAACTGAACAAAATTCTAAAAAAATCTTTTTTTTAATGCTTGTAAATTGTTTATTTAAAAATTTTCGGTTCTATTAGTACACTATTTGATATAGCCTCAAATTACCTGTAAAAATTTTATTAATGGGTTAATGCATGCCTACTTTTCCTATTGTATGTTTCTAATTTTCGAGCGTGAAACGCGAGTGTCGTGATGAGAATGTTATCCTTAAAGTCAAAGTACTTTAAGAAAATGAAATTTAATTTATAAAAAACCAAAGATTTCACTTATATAAATTGTACAAAAAAATTTTTATGAATAAAAACATGAGGGCAAAACCTCATATAATAAATTTGTTGATTTAAAAATGCATTTACTTTAAAGTTCTTTTTTTTAATGTTTTTAAATTTTCAATTAATTTTTTCTTTTACTCAATTGAAATTAGTTCAAAGCGGAATATCTTATTTTAGTAAATAATTTGGTTTGTCGATTTTCGTTAATTACAAAGACCTGGCCAATGCACGGCGCAAAATTAAGGAACTAAGTTTGAACAACTGCAGTGCCGCCATTCAATTTAACGCATTTTAATAAAGACTAGGGTAACGGCACCAGTGAAGGAACTGACACCAGTGAAAGAACAAATTTCATGTTTTGCATTCTAATTAGTGTAATAAACAATTTGGTATTATAAATTATATATTTTTATGTTCCTTATTTAATTTACGTCCTTAGTATCTATGATATTCATAATTATCATTAATTTACCTTTATTATAGTATATTACAAACATTTTATTACTTTATCTTTGTTTTAATATATTTTTTAAATATATTTTAAATATATATTTCACATTGTTCTTTCACTGGATGCAGAAAATTCTTTCATTAGACAATTTGTTCTTTCACTGGTGAAATAGGTATGTTTTACTTATTAATTAAAATTTTAATTAACATCTTATATTTATGAAAATTAAATATGACCTTCGCATTCTACACTTAATTAGCTATCGAAAAAAAATTGGTAAAAAAATTTTCAATAACTGCATTCAAAAATAATAAATGATAAAAGTATGCATTTCCTTAAATGTTCTTTCACTGGTGCCGTTACCCTATGAGTTGTTTCTAATAAATTTTTCAAAACAAGTCGATTATATGAAGCTCCCCTTTTAAAATAACTACTTTGCTTTTGTACATATTTTAACTCTGTATGTAATTAATTTTACTCTTTTTAATAAAATTAATAAAAATAATTTCTTTCTTCTTGACATTTTACTTCAAAATTAATTAAATCAACTACAAAGTCTGAAACAACTACAAAATCTCATTCTACCAAATGAATTCTTGAGTTATTCAGCTACTTTCAGGTAGTATAATTAATACACTTTTTAAATGTAATTGAAAAATTTTTGAATTACACAGTGTAGTTAAAAAGTAATTAATGCTACTAGGTTTTGAATTGTAATAAACAAACAAAGCGCGTATCAATATCGGACCGCGAAGCGGGACGAACGACCTTCGCGCGCCCCGGGGCGCGCTCAAACTAGCAAGCCAAGCGAGGCCCTACGCGCGAAGCGCGTGATGAGAATGTGGCCGCCCCCGCAGGGGGCTGCCGGATTTTTTAAGTTCAATTTCAAATCTTTTAAAAATTTACTTTGACTTTTAGCTATAAAGTTATGTTTTTGGAGAACATTTATTTGCTGGCTGAAATTGTTAGTGAAATCTGGTACTTCTTGCGTGACTGTTTCTAAAGAAGAACGATCAGTATTTAGCCATTGTTGAAAAGTTATAGATTTAAGGTTATTTTCTGAGAGAGCTTCTACTATTTGAGATACAATTTTTTCAATACCAGGGCAAAATTTGCAATTTTGAAGGTAACAATCTATTGAGGTTTGAACACAAATAACACTATTTAAAATATCTGTATAATTAGTTACTCAAATTTCATGAAAAATACTTTTTAAACCATTTAATAATAATTTAAAATTTTGATAAATTTTACATACACATACATTGTGTGTTCCATTACTATCTGCAAGCACACACTGTTTAGGACGTAAAGAAGCAAATTTACTGAATCCTACATTTATTTCTGGATAATCTTTTTTAAACGCTACATATGCTTCCTTAACATTACACAAAATTAAATGTTTTTGTAACTTAACTTTTTTACCATTCTCTTGAGGAACAGAAACTACATCTTTTTGACCTGGCATGATACGACTTATCTCATCGGATAGATAAAAATTCACTATTTTCTCTGATTCGACATTCGAAAAAATATTACATTCTTTTTTAGGCGGATATGATCCAAAACCAAATTCACCTTGTACGTTTTTGGCATGCAAAGCAAATTTATATGAAATTCCAAATTCTTTCTGTAATTTTACAACGTTCCAAGTAAGTGGAGTAACGGTTAACCAAACAATTTTTTCTCTTAAAGTTGATGCAGTTTTAAACTTTTGTTTCACTAAATTCATAATTTCTCGCCCAAAGTCATCCTGAATATATTCTGGATCAAAATCACTTATAGGTGAAATAGAAGGACTCTCATTTAAAGACAAAATAGAATTATTATCATTATAATCAATTTCACTACTTACATACCCCCTTTTCGGGGGATCGTTCTTCTTTGAGATTAACAATTTGCAAGACATACAAATATACTCTCCAATATCCGGAAAACGCTCCTTACATGCTGCATCGCACTTCGAGATGTTTTTCTTCACCCATGAATGTTGAGGAATTTTAAAAGGATTGCAGCAAATCTTTTTAGTTGGCATGTTTCAAAAATTATAAACTCACAAAACCAGTGGAAAATCACAAGGTTAAACACTTCTGAATCGCTCTAAAGCAAAGCTAAGAATGACAGATGTCCAGCAGGTAAAAATTTTCATACCTGAAGGAAGAAATTCGTAGACAATGGCGCGTCGCATCCAACCCCCCTAAAGTTAAGGTATTCCCCTCCATTAGTAGAGTATGTATGCAAATATCTTGCAAAATAAAAAAAATTTTGCAATACTATTTCGGACACTTGTTTAGCACCCTAAGTACTACAAAAATACAAAGTACAAAAAAAATCGGTGATCCACTATTTGCCCTACCTATGGAACTGCCCAATAAGAAAATAATATCTAGTCTTATTGTTAAGAAAAATTTTGATACCATGACATATCCTACAATGTGTTAACCTTACCCTACTGAAAATCCCTGTATAAGATCTTGTACAATTTCCTGTACAGGATCAGCAACTGAACTTATACAAGTTTTGACCAGTTCGTGTACAGGAAAATGCATACGAATTTGGAACAAGTTCATGTGTGAGATCTTGTACAAGAATAATACTTGTACAAGAAAATGTACATGATCTTGTACAAGAAAATGTACATGATCTTGTACAATTTCATGTATACGTACTTGTACATGAACACGTTCATGTTCTTGCACATGTATAGTTGTAAAAAATTTTTTAAAATAAAATTTGAGATTTTGATAATTTTAACCACTGATATTCGTAACTCATGCATGCTAAAAACTATTGCGCAGCTATAAAGGTTAAAGTAAACTATTGCGCAGCCTTTGAAGTTTTTAATTTTTAGTAAAGAAAAAAAAATTAACATGTGCAAGAACATGGACGTGTTCATGTACAAGTACTTATACATGAAATTGTACAAGATCATGTACATTTTCTTGTACAAGTATCTTTCGTGTACAAGATCTTGCACCAGATCTTCTACAAGATCTCACACATGAACTTGTTCCAAATTCGTATGCATTTTCCTGTACAGGAACTGGTCAGAACTTGTACAAGTTCAGTTGCTGATCCTGTACAGGAAATTGTACAAGATCTTTTACAGGGATTTTCAGTAGGGTAAGCATACTCAAGGTACTTGTAATTTTATTCATTTACAATTTTATATGTATCGTCTTTCATAGAGAAGAAAAAAGCGTGGATTGCCACATGTGCGGTTAACTATATGTTTACGTACACAAATTTGCGATTCAGAAACTTTAAATAAAATAATATGTGCTAAAATCACAGACGAAATAAAGAATCCAGAACTTTTTAATATTGTAAAGCGATTTTAAGTTCATGAACCTTGTGGTAAACAAAGTAGGAATTCACCCTGCATGGATTCTGCGATGGGTCAATTAAATGTATTGCTGACAATTCGATGATCATAGTATATAATCTTTATTTGAGTACAAAATTTAAAGGTTATATTGACTGTGCAATAATAGGTATTATATTATTATAACACCATAATGTTGAAATAGTAATACAGTAACGATTACAAAAATAATATTATTATTTTTGTGAGATCAAAATTCGAATAACTGTCCGTCAAATAAAAATAAATTTTTAATTTTTTATAAAAAATAATAGATACCAAGCGCGTTTACGCGCGTCTCTTTCAACCAACTAATAAACTATCTCCAAGTTGGCCTATCAGTTAATGGCATTTTACGATTTTTCAGATTACGAAAATGATGATCAGTATAATTCTACTGATAATTTTGAAGATTAGTCTAACATACGGAAATATCAATATAACAGAACTGAAAGGAAATCTGTATATCGAAGACATAGGACCTGTCCATCAGTATCACGAAGAATGGCGATTAATAATCGGAATAAACGTTACCAATGTAGACAATAGATTTGATATGATTGAAAAAACAATTAAAATAAGTGAAGCAGCATGTTCCATTTATTGTAGCTCTGAGAACGAAATTCATTTAATAAGGGGACGATTTGACAGGTTAAAAAGTAAGCATGATTTATTAAATAAATAGTTAGGAGGACGTCGATTAAAAAGAGGTCTAGCTAATTTTGTGGGAGATATAGCAAAACCTTTATTTGGAATTATGAATGATGCGGACTTAGTAGCTATTAAAAATCAATTCGATGAAGTTCGTGATGATCAAAATCAATTAGCAAATATATTGACTAATCATACGAAAATTATAAAACTGATTCTAGATTCATCTTCATTAGATCACGAACTACTTCAAACACAAACTAATCGAGAACTAGAATTAACTATGAATTTAAGAACGACAATAAACGAAACTATTATAGAAAATGTTATAAATTCAAAACTAGTAATAGTAACACTACTGATTGACGAACCAAACGAAGACATTAATATAGCAGTAGACGCTATTAACGACGGAAAACATGGAATAGTTCATCCTCAACTGTTGACACCAAGAATACTAAAGAATACTATAGAAGAATTCGAACAAGTCCATAGAACGAGATATCATTTTGAAAATACTGAAGAAACTTATCAATATATTATTGACTTGAGTGAAGTTGGAGTAGCAATAATAAAAGGGTTATTGACTTACATTTTGAGAATACCAGTAATTGAAAAGGAAGAAGGAAATATTATTCGACTAATACCAATCCCAGAGAAAATAAAGGACACCTATTTAGGATATACACCAGAACATGAATATTTTATAAAATACAAAGGATCATATACTCCATTGAAAATTGACTACCAAACCGATTGTAAAAACATAGTAGAATATAAAATCTGTAAAAGAAAACAACCAAATTATTTACTAGGCAAATCTAACGGATGTGATGCTACTTTGTTAAGGAGAGACTCTTTAGCAAATTCTATACTATCCCCATATTTATTACATCAAGAAACATATATTTCTGTTACCAATGGATACATATTACTCCCACTCCGACAAATAACTATTGACATTAATTGTGACGACGGACTTGAAACTATTACAATTCACCATGCTAGTTTAATACAAGGTTCAAGATGTAAAGTATTTTTAGAAAACACAGAATTGTATCTTCCAAGTATACAAACGCTAAACAAAATTGTTAACATTAATGTAAGTTACGAATTACCTTTTGACAAAAATGAAATAGAAAATCTTAGAGATAGATTAATTCCGCTACCTCAAAAATTAGATCAACAAACATTAGCAAATGCTAAATTAGGATTAGATAATACATTAGATTTATTGGAGCAAATAAAATCACGTACTCGAATCAATAATTGGAAAGAAAAGGCTGTAGATGTATTACACATTGCAAGTTATAGTAGTTTAACTATTATAGGAATTTATGTAATATATAAATGTGGATTGTTTAAAATAATACGAAAATGTTTACCTAAAAAGTAATGTTTATTCTGTATTAAAAATCAAATCACTAATGAACCCGTCCTTGTAACCTACGAAAGACAACCACATAGAATGGCAGAAGTAGATATTAAACCTTATTTAGATAAGAATGTAAAACTTAGAATTAGGGACTAAATGCTGTCTAACGAGAGGGATGTTATAGTCAGCAAATATATATATCCCCACTTGTATTGCTTCATATTTGACATGAGCTGCAAACCGTTTTAGCAATTCAGTCTTATTCCTACCTTTGTATGTATAATATAATTTTGATAATAAATTGTCACTCACACAAGTGATATAAAAGGTACAGTGAGTCTTTTATTAAATTGACCGTAACAATAGTTTTATTTTAAATTTTTTATATTTTCTTTTTAATCATTTTTTTATATGGATATTTATCCTTTACTAAAAACTTACTATTTGTTATCACCTTTATAAAAAAATTCTTATTTCATAATTAAATAACAAAAAAAGTTATTAAATTTAAATTTTCATTATTTTCAAAATTATCATCTGCCTGAAAAGATCCCGCTGTCGGTAAAAAAGACTGCGCCGCTGTCCTGTGAGCTCCACGTACCGACTGTGAGCCTCATTGAAACCACCATTTGCCGCATTGGACTCGTATTTGACATTTCACCTCTCCATATTTTAGTGAAACCTTATATTTCCGCTCACCATTAGTATTGTTTCACTCTTTTAACTTTTATTTTTCAAAGCTTACATTTATTTATTATTCATGTAACGTCGTTTCGTTTTTTTAATGCTTAAAATTTTGGCCGCATTGGGACTCTTGGATTTACGCAATCACCGTGACACACAATGCGGTATTTCGCGAATACCGCATTTGCAGGTTGATACTCCCAATACATAAATCGGTACCTCACAATACTCTTTTTACAGGGAAGGTAACTAAGTGTTCAAAAAAATAATTTATTTATTATATGAAAAAAAAATTATAAAAAGACATACATTTTTGGCCCTTTTGACCCGTGTCAACCCTTAAATATGACTGCAGAAACAATTATACTTACGACCCTACATAGGGTTCCTATATTATATATATATATACTCTACTTAATGTTGTTCCATTATCTGACCATAAATGCGGGTGTACTTTAGGTATAAAATGTGCGACCATATTAAGAGTTGTTATAACGATCATATTTGTGGACGTATTTACGCTTCTTTGTTAATAAGGATTTATATAAAAAGTGTGACTCCAATTGACAAATAATTTGATTAACTTTTTTAGTAAGTAGAAATACTGATAATTAATCGTGCATATGTTGAGGCATGAGATTATTACTTCTTATATATATATATATACACTCAAATCTCCCTATTACGACTTTCTATACAACGAGCGCTCATACTCTATGTTCAACAAGCAAATTATCCTCTTCTGCATCCCCGCTGTTTACAAATCCAATGTGTTGACGAAACTACAAAATTTTCTTTTATAGATACGTAAGAAAGATTCACATTTTGATATGTTTCTTAATAGTTTAATAAGTAATTTAATGTTTCAAATTATCCAATTAAAAGAAATTATAGATTGTTTCATATGCATATATATATATATATATATATATATATATATATATATATATATATATATATATATATATATATATATATATATATATATATATATATGAGGCATTTCATATAAGAATACGGAGTCATGTCTCGGATTATTCTCAAAATTCGGTAAATTGTAGTAATAGTGGTGCTAAATAAGTGTACAAATTTTGAATTTTTAATATTTTTCAAGATATTTGCAATAACAAATTTGAGCAATATTTTTTTAATTTACTTATAACTTTTTTCCTACTAACAATAGAGAAAAATGTTGTAAATGTTTTTTACACAGAAGATCTTAAACTTTCAGAAATAATTTTTTTTAAATATTAATTTTAAAACAATTTGTTTAGAAAATAAAATTTGTTTATAACTTTTAAACATGTTCTCCCTCATTTAGAAGCGCGAAAAAAATCATGAATATTGTTTAAGTCATAATAAATCGATGGTTAAATTTTTGAGATGGCATTATTTTTTGTTTTCGAGATATTCATTAATTAACTAACAAAAGTTAATAAAAAATGAAATTTTTTACGAACAAATAAAATAAAAAAAATAATTTTTTTCTGAAAGTTTAAGGTCTTTTGCGTAAAAAAACATTTACAACATTTTTCTCTATTTTTAGCAGGAAAAAAGTTATAAGTAAATAAAAAAAATATTGCTCAAATTTGTTATTGTAAATATTGCCAAAAATATTAAAAATTTCAAATTCAAAATTTATACACTTATTCAGCACCACTATCACTACAATTTACCAAAATTTGAGAAAAATCCGAGACATGAACCCATATTCTCATATGACATGCCTCATATATATGCATATGGAGAGAGGGAAATTTCAGAAAACTGCACGATACGGAGACACGACATGTATGCAAAATGGGTTATGTTTACAATTGTGACAGTTTATATGTACCCACATAGCACAACTTCTTACTGTGAGGTTACTGTAAGGATATCTGCAGGGTTTGTGAGGTTACCGTGAAAGCCTACAGTAAACTTGAGGTCATCTTAAAATTTCCACCATTACAGTAAGCTTACACAGTAAACCTACGGTAAGCTTACGCAGTAAGGTCATGGTGGGTTTACATGGTAAGATTGAGGTAAACTTACACACTAAGATTGTTGTAAGCTTCCCGTAAGGTTACTGTAAACATAGAATGTTATTAATAAATTTTATTAATATTTATGCGCAGTAGTTTTCTATGGCACATACGGCTGCGCAGTAAATTTAATTTAACAAACCCTATTGGTGTTCATAAAGTACTTTACCAAATATATAAATTTTTATAAAAAAAAATTTATAATATAATATATATTATAATATAATTATTTTTAATATATTTTCTTATTACTCTGTTTACAATAACCTTACAGCAAACTTTACCGTGTAAGCTTACCACAACCTTACCATGTAAACTTACCACGACTTTACAGTGTAAGCCTACCTTAGCTGTACTGTGTAAGCTTACTATAATGGCGGAAGTTTTAAGATGACCTCAAATTTACTGCAGGCTCACACGGTAACCTTACAAACCCTACAGATATCTTTACAGTAACCTCACAGCAAGAAGTCGTGCTATGTTGGTATATGTATGACAAATTTTAGTTCGATTTTTACAAACTACAAGAATTTTGAACTTAATCTTACCTTTCATAAATATATTGATAAATTTATTGTATACTGAAAGTAATATTGTTCTTCGTAAAATCATTGCATTCATATTTAAAGTTACTATGAAGGAGCAGAAAGTAGGGATTGTGGGGATTCTCTTTTTGCTGTCGTAATAGGGAATTTTTAGATTCCCGAATTTCTCGTTATGTGGAGATTCGAGTGTATATTATGAAATTTATTTACATATATTATGGAAACTAATTTAAATTTTATCACATCCTCGTTCCTTTCTCATTCTCTATCTGTATTTTCTCGTCATTTATTTCTAGACCAATATTTGTAATTCCCTGAACTTTGCTGAGTTTTCTGGGCTTAGTAGGAGGTCCTAAAAGGTGCTTTACTGGAGGACTGAGTAGATCATAATTTAAATCAGCCGGATCTTGAAAACCAGTTGCATAACTTACAAGGATTCCAACAAAAACTGTCACGAGACAACCAATTGCACTATACCATAGATAACTTATCTGGAAAAAATATTTAAGTTATATACATATGTAATTTCAATTAAAACTGTTTACGATAATACAAGCTTACTTTGTATAAGGTCCAAACTTCTGACACAGAATTCTCAGATGTTAACAATTCCGAAGTTGTTTCATTAAGACAAGGGCATTCATCAGTTGATATAGGTTTTCCTTCTAAATAAACATGTCCTTTGATTGTTGCAACTTGTGCACCCAATCCGATCCATCCAATTAATGCTATACTTGTAATTGCTCCAACCATAGCTCCTTTAGCATTAGCCCAAGGAATAAACATCCCCAAAGAGAACAGCCCCAGTGTTACACCACCAACCATCCCATTAAACGATAGAGCAACCTATTGAATATAACATTCTTTAATAAGATTTTTTAATTATATACAAGTATGTTATAGTGTTGTTCAATTAAAAATCTATTTAAAATGTCACGCCATTGTTCAATTTCTCGTGACTCTTTTTGTTATATTTGTGGTAATTTCATCATAAAAGGCCAAGAAAAAATTTTTACACAGGTTTTAAAACAGGCTTACAAAACTTGTTTCAATATTGAAGTAAAAAATCCAGATTTTTACAAATATGTGCCTTCAAAGGTGTGTGTTACTTGTGCAAAAACTTTAAGAGACTGGATGCAAGGTACTCGATCGTTTTCGTTTGAGAATCCTATGATTTGAAAGAAACAAAAAGATCATGAAACCGATTGTTATTTCTGTCTGACAAATGTTGTTGGTTTTAATCGGAGAAACAAAAACTGCATTAAATATACAGATATCGAATCAGCCAAACGTCCTGAAACTAAATGCGGTCATTCCATTCCTAAAAATTTGAGAGAATTTTTAGATAGAAATTTGATTCAAAATAAAGTTGAGACTGAAATTGAAGACAATGATGATGATGATGATGACGACTTTTTTGATGTTGAATCATTGGTTCTACAGTTGATAAATCAAGAAAGGTTGAATGATCTTTGCCGTTATCTTAATTTAACCAAAGAAAAGTCTCAACTTTTAAGTTTAAGATTGAAAGAGTGGAATTTATTGGCAGAAGATGCAAAAACTTCATCATTTAAACAGCGTGATGAGAAATTATGTTCATATTTTACGCATTTGCCTGATGAAGATTTTTGCTTCTGTAACTACATAGAACTCATGAAAGAATTAAAAATTGTTTACAATCCGAAACACTGGAAGCTCTTCATAGATTCATCGAAATCTGGATTAAAAGCAGTACTCCTGCATAATGGCAACGAAAAAAATCTGTTCCTATTGGATGCTCTGCAACAATGAAGGAAACTTACGACAATTTGGCTCTTGTGATCGATTTGATTAATTATTCAAAACACGAATGGGAAGTGTGTTCTGATTTAAAAGTCGTAGCGATTATATTGGGTCTTCAGTCTAGATACACGAAGTACATGTGCTTTTTGTGTTTGTGGGACAGTAGGGACAGAAAATCGCACTACGTTAGAAAAGACTGGCCCCGCCGTCAAAATGTGGTTATTGGGAAAAATAACGTCAAGAATATGCCTTTGGTTGATCCGGAAAATTTTATTCCTCCTCCTCTACATTTGAAATTAGGTCTTATTAAAAATTTTGCAAAACGCATGGGCAAGGACGGACCTGCTTTATTACATTTGAAAAAGTTATTTCCGAAATTGAGTGAGGCAAAAATAAAAGAAGGAGTATTCAATGGACCCCAAATAAGGACTATTTTGAAAGATCAAGAATTTGCTGGCCATTTGTCTTCAAAGGAATTGTGAGCATGGAATGCTTTTGTGGCTGTCGTTACCGGATTTTTGGGAAATAACAAAGAGGATAATGAACAAAGGGAAAGATTTTATCAAGATGTGAGCACTATGGAAACTAGGTAAATTAAATTAAACTAGGTAAAAAAATTTAAATTAAATTAAATAATCAAAATAAATAAAAACAAAATAATAAATAAAATAATAAAAAACAAATTAAATTTTAAAACAAATTTAAAAACTAGATACAAAGGAAAGAGTCCAGTTAAAATGTTAGCCGACTATTGATGTTCATTAGTACGTGATCTACCAGATGCCGTTTACAAGCGCAAATAAATATGCAAGATAATTGATTCGTTGATTTTATTAATTTTATTAATTTCTTGTTGTTGATATATTTTATTATTATAAATTTATAACGTTTCTCTTTTAATTATTTGTTTATTTTAATTATTCAGTTTTAGTCTTGGAATTATTCTTTTGGAATTATTCTTCAACAGTTACTTTGCAAAAAAAATTGTAAATCTTAATGTGATTAAAAAAACATCGACGAAGTTTAGATAAAAATATGTTAACTTTGTTTAAATTTTCATTATTATATAAACCTGGTTCTAGAGTGTTTCTTGTTAGAGACGGATTTTCCGTCACTTTATAATTTTTTTAATCATTATTTATTCATAATTATCTTTCAAATTATTATATTATAAAACACAAAACACATTATTATTCTCATTGTGAATATTTTTAATTATTATTTAGAAATCATTTAATAATTATGCCAAAGGCCTTTTCATATATTTTAGTTATAATGAATTGTTAAATTGAAATAAGTTACAAAATAATAACATGATCTAAATTCTTATTGTATCATTTAAATGTGGGTCTTCAATATATGACAGTTACTTAATCCCTTTGGAAGATTAAGTAATATTAATGAAAATTATAAGTAGAGTAGGTGATTGAATGTATCACTGCCCCAGTTAAAATGCAACGTTTTTGAAATTGCATGAAAATAAGGAGAAGTCAGTTGCAAAATCAACTCTCCTTCTACATGAATCGGGAGTGATCATTGTCACCAAACTCATTGTTTAAGAGAGTTTAAATAGTCGGTCTTTCGGACAGTAGGGATGGAATGATCAGTATTCGTTCAAGTGTTCAGTATCATTTCCCGCAAAGGCGGATGTTGTGTTGATTCCCGCAAAAGGCGGATGATTATATTATTGAAGTCCCACAAAAAGTGGTTGAAGTTATTAATTAATCCCCAAGTAAGGGTTGATCTGTGTTAAATAATAATAAATACAAGTGTCTTGAAAATATATAAAAAATAAATTGAGAAATTCATTATAACTAAATAAAGAAGAGAAGACTTCCGCATACCTAAATATCAAGTGACAAACAACGAGTAATACGATACTTTTCTGTAACGATTATAATTCTGGTGAGTCTCTTTAAATAATTGTGTTTAATAAAACAGTTTCTTGTGTTTCGAATCTATCTTGTTGATATTTGTGAGACTTGACGTAAGTCAAGTAGCTTAATTATTGAATTTTGTAATAAACCTTTCTTTGCATGTATAAAACAAATACTTTGAGAATAATTTGTAATAAATTGAGTGTTAATTTAATTTGACTCTATTTATTTATTTTTCACATTAAATTACTTTGTCTCATATTTCTTTTAACATTTTCTCTGAAATACCGTCTATCCGGGTTTATTGAATTGATAATTTACTGAGAGGTAGTCCACTACCTTATTCTAAAATTATTTAGCGAAGAGCATTTACGCTTTCCAAATAAGCGGAATTGTTAAGTAATAAAAATTAGTATTTTTCTAAAATATTTATTATTTCTCGTCAAGTTATCTATTTTATTTTTCTTTTGTTAATTAACATCCGTCTTTAACAAAATGGTGGCAGCGGTGGGATTTGTCGCTCATATTTTTGAAAAAATGTTTTTAAAAAAAAAGTTGAGACTTTAGTAAAGAGTGAAAAATAAATTTTCTTTCTGAAAATACACATGAATGAATACGCACTCACAAATACACAGTAATTATTTGAAGTAAATTGTGATAAAAAAATGATGAAATTGAATTGATGTTGAATAATTTGTTTATTGTTTCCATGTTTTAATGTACTATTTTTCAGACAAAATTTTTGTTTGGGTTTTTGTCAAGTGCGCGAGTAGAATTTTTTTGTTATTTTTATTTTGGTTCGCTAACGTCGAACTGAGACACAGTAACTACCCTTGCATTCGGCAAGCTCTGGTTTCTCTAAAAATTCGGTAAAAATTCCTTGACTTAACCTTGCCGGAAGTGTGTAGCCACTTGGGCAAGTGAGAGGATTAAAATCACGAAAAGTATACAAAACAGGAATTAGATTTTTATTGTTTGAATATAAAATTTCAAATGTATAATTATTCTAAATGCGAAGAAAATAAATTAGAAAGACAACGTAAACTTCGTGCACACATTTTAGCTAGAAGAAATATTAGTCCAGAAAGATTTGATGCGGTAAAAAAACAATTATTCGTCGGAAAAGAAAAAGTTAAAGATACGCGTTCAGAAAACAATTACAGCTCACTAGCACAATCATTGCAAAATTTGAGCATGACAGGTAATTAAAAGTTTGATTAATTAAAAGAAATAAACGACCTTGCTATAGATAGGTTACGGGATTAGTGCGTTAATCGTATTTCAAAACATTGCGAGCACCAAGTCACAGTAAGAGTGCTGAGTTGACAAAGTATACAGTTGAAAGAAATTAAATTAATAAGATAAATAAAATAAAAGTCATAATGTGTTAATAAAAGAATTAAAAAAAAAATTTATCGAGAATATATTTTCTTTTTATTTTACAATTGATTTAAATAAAAAGAATCTAATAATTTAAACAAAGTTTTTTTTTTTTAATCGTTTGAGTGAGATTTCTTTGCGATTGAAGAGTAGAGAAAACATGCAATAAGAAACCGGGTCTTATTACAGGTTATATGAGTATTTAAAAGACATTTATTTCGAAATAATAAATTGGGAATTTACGATTATTTTATTTCACGAGTGTTATGAAAATAAACAGATTTTAAAAGTTTTAAAATAAATATCTGTGATTTTTGCCAGATATAATTAATAAAAAGAATTGATTTTTTTTATGTTGAGATTTTTTTTGAGAGATAATCATGACGGATCGGGAAGGAAACGGTAAACGGCGTCAATCCGGTAATGAAAATCAAGGACATGTTGACAATCCTTTCGCGGAAAACAGACGCGAAAATTTCAATGCAACAAATGTAGCCGAATTATATAGGGACAGGACAGATTTAGGTTTCCAATCAATTTTACCTCTGCAGCGACCATTTGTCGCAAATGATGAAGAAAATGCAGGTATCGCGACGGCTCGCTCTATTGCTGATAGCTTAACCATACAAAATGCCCTAATGGAAATAAAGGTTTATGATGGAAAGAACATGTCGGTCAAGGATTTTATTCAAGATGTAGTGGTAGCTGCTTCGAAATTTCCCCCCGAATATGAAGGAACGTTAATTACTTCGGTTTTAGGAAAATTAACAGGTCCAGCGAGAGACTGTACAGACAACAAGCAATTCG